TTATATTTATGAAGGATTAAGAAGGCTATAATATCTTATGGCATGCATTCCTCATTTGTAAAGCAAATGTTAAACTCCTGGTCAACTTAAAATAAGATTATACCACAGGACTGGAGAGAATTGATAAATGCTGTTCTGGAACCTTGGCACAGCTGCAGTGGCAAATGTGGTTCAAAGAGGTAGATAAAAACATAGAAAATCAATGGAGGGCTAAAGGTAATCAAATCTCTCAGGACCAGCTTGTTGAAAAAAGCCAAAATGCCTCAATACAAACAAAATGTTTATAGGATATCCAACCCCTAATTCTATGTTGAATGGCAGCCTTGAATGCATGGAACAGAACTGAGAAACCAAGAAAGAAAACTGAGTCATTTAAAATGGTTATACAAGGCCCAAAAGAACCCTTCATGGATTTCTTACAAAGACCAATTTCAGCAGTAAAGAGAATGGTCTCGAATTCAGAAGCTAGCTAGATAATAATCAATTTTTTGGCTTTTGAGAGCTTGAATGCAGCATAAAGAGAATAATCAGGCTGTTAAAGGCAAGATATGCACCCCTGGAAGATTGGGTTAGGGACATGTTTAATGTGGAGGCTCATGACAATGATGATATGTGAATAGGAGAAGCAATTTCAAGAGGTTTGAGGAATGTCAGATCTTTTTGATTTGGAAAGCAAGGACATTTGAAAAGGGACTGTAAACAAGGCATTCCTAGAAACAATGTTTCTTCAAGGAACAAGGGCAACAGATTTCCCCTTCCTTCTGGAGTATGCAGAAGGTGTGGTAATGGAAAACACTGGACCAAGGAATATAGATCAACAAGGAACAGGGAAGGTAATACTTTGCCTCAGGCTTCCGATAACTCCCAGAGGAGCCTCAGGCAGACCCCATCAGCAAATCCAGCTCAGACCTTTCCTGCAGTTATAGAGGAAACTCCTACTCAGAGCAATTAAATAACCCAATGCCTATTGGAATAAACCAGCCTGCCCGGGGTAATGGAACAACAGAGACAGAGAGAACAGAAAATTCAGGAGAAACCATGAAGAAATTTTTTTGGCAAACTTCTATAAATGAACAAAGACCAAAATTAT